CACAAATGAAAAAAGGTTGAAAATGATGCTGCATACCCAATGCTACATTTAAAGACAGCATCTGCTTAAAAAAAGGAGGGGGTTGCAGGCAGGATGTTTTCTTTGGGCAGTGCTTATCTAACCCTGTGTGCTCTCAGTCTTTTTTCTGAAATATCAGAATCCTACTGCTAGGAAAGTAGGAGGAAATGCAGTGAGGAGAACCAGGAAAAGACCAGATGATGTTTTGTTGTTGTTGGCTAGCTAAACGAGGGGAGTGTGTATGTGCATGTGTGTTGAACGTACACCTCTACATTCAAGTAAATAAAATAGTGTAGTCCCATGACTTTTCAGGCAGCAAGTTGTCCAAAGGGTCTACAGCATTTGTCATCTCTGGCACTCCTTACACATTACACCTTCCCTCCACATGAAAGGAAGTGTGCTGTATGTTAAGACCAGGGAGACAAAGGCACTGTAGAGGACAACAGTAGTAAGACTCGGTTCTTGCAACAGTTTGGAGGAAATCAAAAGCAGGCTTTAAAAAAAGGAGAGAATTTTTTAACAAAATATTGAAATAAATAGCAGTCCTCTTGGAACAATACCGTACCACCAACTGAATGGCTAAGCCAAAAGGGGAAGAAGCTGCCATACCAAAGTTATCGTGCTACAAGGAACAAGCTTTAATCACTTTAGTGAGAGAAGGTACTGACTTTGTTTTGAAATCTGATTTTTAGCCCCTTTCCTCCCTCTTGGGAGGGTGTTGAACACATGGAGAAATAACTGCAGAACACCTTCAGTAAATAAAAAACACTGACAAATATTTATGATCTACTCCATCATTTTTAGACTCTCACTTTTTTTTGCATTTTAGCCAGGTTTAGACCTGACTCGCTTTGGATACCAGTTTATATACATTGGTAATCGTATACATTTTTCTTTTAATAATTTAATTGAAAACCCATTTAAACCTTTTGTTTATTGCCATTTCTGAGAAAGATTGGCCAGTCCTTAATCCTTTGACCATCTTCACACAAGGCTAGAGCCAAACACAAAGATGGGATTAGACTAGTTATTTTAGCACCTGGAACTAACAAGGGCTAGTTTCTGGGAGTTTATAAGAGAAGAGGAGGAACCATTTCTGTGGCACAAGTATGGATAAGTAGGTGGATTGGTTTCTATTTGTGGTTCTGACACAGATGTCCTGCAGGGCATAGAGCAGGGCTGTATACCTGGCAGCCTGTGGGCAGCAAGCAGTTCTATAAGGGGTTAATTTGCAGCCCCTTGGCTCCCACATAGTTGCCACTGCTTCTATTGCTCCAGCTGCAGCAGCAGGTGGGGTCTCTGGGCTCCCTCTCCCTATTTTAGCTTCCACTTCCTACCTCCACCCCAAGAGGTGGTTGTGGTGTGGTGTGGTGTGGTGTGGTGCAGTAGAATGCAGGCTGCTGGGCCAAGGAAGCCCATACCCTGCAATGCACTGTGATACAGCAGCTGGGTCTAGGGGAGAGAGGAGAGAGCAGGCTCTGGCTTGCTCTGCTGCAGCCTGCAAATGTCTTATATATTTGACAAATTATTTATTTATTTATTTATTTATGTATTGCTGCTAACCATAGTTACTAACTATAACTCTTATAGACAATCCATATGGGCAGAGACCCACCCAAACCTAGGTGGAAGATAGGCAGTTTCACTGGCTGATCGCAGGATTGCCTGTCATTTCCACAGGCTCATTGCGGTAAGTCCTTTCCCTCGCCCCCAACTGCTAATTGCCCAAGGGGCCTCAACAGTCATGCCTCTTGCTGCTGATTGGCCAAGAAGGCTGCCTTTCATGAGGCCCTGCCCCTCACTGCTGGTTGGTAGAGAAGGGCAGGCCTTCACAAGAGGCAGCCCTCTCAGCCAATCAGCAGAGGAGGGGATAGCCATGTCAGTGGCTTCTGTTCCTCCCCTCCCCCAATTTCCAGCCCTGGTGGGCTACAACACCACTGGGGAGCCAGCATTTAATTCTTTGTAATATTTTTTTCCCCTCAGTGATTCGGCAGAAAATCATGGAAATAGATGGTTTTTGCGGTTTCCACAAAAAATTGCATATTGCTACTTGAGTAGGTACCTACATATGGGTTACTCAGTGCAATGGTGTTTTTCTCCCCAGATTTTGGGTATTGATGTACCCACTTCAGCTGGTGTCTAGGGCCCGATTCTGTGAGAACATTACCCAGACTCCTGAGGCCTAATCCAAAAGCCACTGCAATTGATGGGAGTTTTTTCCATTGATTTCAGTGCGGTTGGAAGCTAGTTTTTAAGGGAAATACTGGTTCTGTTTACCTGCGTAACACATTTATTTGTAAGCAGCAACACTTCCAGTTTACAAGTCAATATTAAACCAAACTAAAATTAACTTAGCATCCCATGTGGTCTAGTGGTTAGGATTCCTGGTTTTCACCCAGGTGGCCTGGGTTTGACTCCCGGTGTGGGAAGTTTTAGTTTTCTATTTGGCAGTGGCGAGGCCACATCTGGAGTACAGTGTCCAGTTTTGGGTCCTCCACTACAGAAGAGGTGTGGACAAATTGGAGAGAGTCCAGCAGAGTGGAACAAAAATGATTAGGGGCTGGGGTACATGACATAAGGAGAGGCTGAGGGAACTGGGCTTATTTAAGTCTGCAGAAGAGAAAACTGAGAGGGGATTTAATAGCAGCCTTCACCTACCTGAAGTGGGGTTCGAAAGAGGATGGAGCTAGACTGTTCTGTGCTGCCAGATGACAGAACAAGTAGCAATGGTCTTAAATTGCAGCAAGGGATGTTTAGATTAGATATTAGGAAAAACTTTCTCACTAGGAGGGTAGTAAAACAGTGGAACAGGTTAGCCAGAGAGTATGGAATCTCCATCCTTGGAGGTTTTTAAGGCCTGGCTAGACAAAGGCTTGGCTCAGATGATTTAGTTGGGGATGGTCTAGATCAGGGGTGTCCAGCCTTTTTGAATGGGGCCGGATCATGAATTTTTATCACCCAGTGGGCCGGCAGGAGCAGGCGCTCGCGTGGCCTGTCCAGTCCGGCTGCAGCCTGGGGGCACAGGGGTCAAGGGGTGCTGCCTGACCCTGCGTGTCCTCCTTGCCACCTGGGTGGCCTCAAGGATGCTCCCACACCTGTGCACCTGGGCTCAGCATCCAGGGGGACATGTGGGGACTCTACAGGGGGTGCGGGATGTACAGGGACACCCCTCTGCTCCCTCTCCCCCCGGGCAGCCCGAGCTCAAGTGGCAGGAGTCCCTCCCTCCCCGGGGCCTGTGACTCACCACCCCCAGCGCGATGTCTGTGGGTGTGGGGGGATGCGGGAAGGCGGGAGCGGCACCGGATTCCCGCCCCAACAACCACAGCAGCAGCGGCAGCAGCATCTCCTGCAGGCCCGGCCACAGCATCCCTCTGAGCCAGCATCCGAGCCCCCTGCACCCATCCGCCAGCTGCACTGTGACCTGCTCCAGCCCACGCGGCCAGCGGGGACCGGCGCAGGGTGGGGCTGGCATGCAAATTAGGATGGGAGGGGTGGGGCTAGGAACAGAAACCCTGTAATGTGGGAGAGGGGAGGAGCTGGCATGCAAATGAGGAAGGGAGGGGTGGGGCGAGGAAGGGACACCGTGAAATGAGGGGAGAGGGGAGGAGCTGCACTGCGTCGGCAACGTCAAGTTGACACGGTGCATGTGGGAACCTTGTCCCTTCCCCAGCCCTTCAGCAGCCATTAGAAATCTGATGAGGGGCTGGGGGAGGGACAAGGGGTGGGAACGAAAGTAAACAGCATTTACTTTCATTTCCCGTTGCAGTACCGTGGGGCACAGAAAAAGGCTTGGCGGGCTGCATGGCAGCCCATAGACCGTATGTTGGACAAGCCTGGTTTAGATGACCTTCTGAGGTCTATTCCAACCCTAAATTTCTATGATTCTATGAGAATAGATCATGTTCAAAGTTTCCATTCCTTCAGAATAAGGAAGTTTTGTTAGGTATTACTTACTTTTTGTTCCTTGAGAGAATTTTGCCCTCCTGTATAGTCGGACACAGGTTTGGAGGGATTTTGTTTCGGTGTACACAAGAATTATAATAAACACGTGTTGCTCCTTGGAGACACTGTAGCAAGACTGAGTTTCAGTTCTTTTCCAAATGACTGTCTGATAAAACCACCTACAAAGACACAAAAAGAAAAGGGATCAGACTACTAAGAGATATGCAAGTGGTTCTTAGAAAAGTCTGTAGCAGCTTCTATTTATAGGTGCCTGATTGTGCTAATCTGTGTTGGTGCTCATAGGATCATAGGAAAGTAGGGCTGGAAGAGACCTCATGAGGTCATCTAGTTCAGCCCCCTGCTCAAGGCAGGATCATCCCTTACTAAATCATCCCAGCCAAGTGTCTGTCTAACCTGCAGTTAAGCTGCCAAAAATGGAGACTCCACAATTTTTTAGGTAGCCTGTTCCAATGATTGACCCCCCTCATAGTCAGAAAATTCTTCCTAATCTCCAACCTCCCTTTCCTCTGTTGCAGCTGCTAGTTCTGTCTGCTACAGCCACAGAGAAAAGCCCGTCTTCATCCTCTCTATAATTATTCTTCAGTTATCATCATCTTCTCCCAATTTAAATAACCCTAGTTCTTTCAGCCTTTCCTCAGATCTGGTCCCTGTCTATCCCCCCCCGCCCAACTCTAATCGTTTTTGTCACTCCGCACTGGACTCACACCAAACTGTCCACATTCTCTTGAAATATGGGTCCCTGTGGCCACAGTGCTCTCTCTAGAGGAGGCCTCACCAGTGCTGAAGTACAATAACACTGAAATATAAAGGAAGTGAAGAGTGAAGCTTTTTTCTGGAAGTAGATAGTTATGGCCCCAGTATATTGATGTCTGTGGCATTTACTAAGTAAGGACTAGCAGGGCACTTCTCACAGCCTCTTGACATTTTGTTGTTTTCTATCGTCCTTTGTTACAAACAAGATTGCTGCCTGGCTTGCGTCAACCTGACTGTTTCTCCTTTTCTGTATGATCTATCTGCAGATGTTGCTATGAGGAAAGGAGTCAGAAATGACTGATGTGGAGCCTGTGGTCACAGATTTTGCAGCCTCGGGAAGGGCAGGTCGCCGAAATGCCTTACCAGATATTCTGGGCTCTCCTGCTGGAGCTGGAACTTCAGACCTGCCACACAAACTAGCTGAGCTTGCTGTGACTGAAGGTAAAGTGTAAATATTAATGAAAACCATGGATCTCATGCAGCTGATTCTCTGCTTTCTTACAAGATCTTTTTTTGACCACTTCCTAGCTTTGCTAACTTTAGTGTTAGCATTTCTCCATTTAACTAGAATTAGATCTGCCTATTCCAAAGCAGAAATTAGCTATGCTTGTTAATTAGGAAAAGTTAATGTTACCCCAGATTTGAGTTAAATTTGCCATATCCACCCTCATGCTAATTGTTCAGTAGCCAGCAGCTGCTATTATGAGATGAATTCCTAACCTGTACAACAGCCAAAAAACCAAACCAAACCTACTGTGCCATTGTGCCACAGATCTTCCCATCGGTCAGTGATTAAAGCTATAGTCTAGTAATGCAAGAGAGATTTACCAAAGGTGTGTCAGGGAGTTGCTTTCAGCTCCCTGATCTGTTTTTCAAGCCATAATATCTCTGGCTCATACGTACACATCATTTACTTCTGCTGGCTGTGTTTCCCAGGGGCATACATACTACCTGAAATCACTGTATTGTTCCTTAAATTGTCTTGTGCTCTATTGTCAGGGTGGAAGAGTAGATGGTAAGGGATTCTACTCTATTGGCTGTATACCAAATAAACATATCCTTTCCCCCTTCCCCTCACCAAGTCGAACAACACAAAGGGTTTGGAGCAAATGGATAAAATGTGTTCCTTTTTATCTGACCCTAGTGGTCTTTGTATTTTCATGCCTTCTGGAATTCTGCAACTCTTATTAACAATCCACTGGGAGATTAACGTGTACTGAGAGGTTTATGGACAGGTCAACCTTTGCTCAGTGATTTGTACATATAGGTGAAGCACACCAGCAGAAGAGCCAAAAAAAAAAGGATCAACATTTGTTTCCCCAGAGATAAAGCAGAACAGAAGGAGGCCTTAGTGAAGGAGGATTCTAGAAGTAGGGATGGCATCATCAAATCTGGGAGTTGAACCCCTTTTCTGTAGATGGGCATGTCACAGTGTATGTGAGGTTTCGTTCTGGAAACTCATAGAATCCAATGACGATGAAGGTAGATTCTGCCCAATTCAGTTCATCTGGAAGTCATTCAAAAGACTACTTTGCCTTGGAGAACTGGATTCTGTTCCTAGAAAAAACATTTCTCTGTGGGCCTGTAAATTCATAGTGCCTGTAGCACCAACAGTCCATTCCATCATGCTCTTGATACAAACCATAGTTGTATTTTTACATCTCCATGTAGCCCTTAAGTTGGGTGCAGTTCCCTTTCTGCATAGTGACCAGAATATGGATTTGGATCATGGGGAGACCGTTTCCCCCTTACCAAATGGGCTGTAGAGAAGAACAATGACTGATGCTGGGGAAGTTGAGCTAAAGCGTGAGCCAACCCTAGTGAAATATTTAGTGCTATGTAAAGTATATAATTAAGCTTTAAGTAGTTTTACTTCAATAAGCCTTAAGAGATTCTGATGCACATAACAGTTGAATAAAACATAACCAATTAAATAGCTGGAGATAAAAAGGATTCTCCCTGCTTGTTTCATTCTGGCCTCTGGACAGCATAGTTGTTGGAAAGAACTTGCTGCTTAAATTCATCACTCATCACTTACCCCACAAAAATGAACACACAAGTGTGAAAGTCTTCTTAAAAGAATACAAACGCTTAATGGCTCAAGCATTTAGCCTTCCAGGCAGATTCATTTCCTCTGCTAGTACCCATCCAATTTGTTACTGAGAACAAATAAAATGGGGATAGATTAACTTCAGCAAAATGTGCTGCTTTTACATCAGTCAAAGCACTGTGATTACAGAGGTCTGAAGAACAGCTACTACCAAGGAATTATCCTTTGTTTTTGACATTGTCACTTACAGGTACCAGCAGAGTCTCTGATGAGGCCAGTTTTCTAATTCCTTCCCACCTCCATTTCTGATATAGACAATTAAATATTCACTGTAGCAGGGACTGGACTTGACTGTCCCACATCAGTGAAGTCAAAGGTAGTCTTTCCATTGACTGAAGGGGGAAATGAATTGGGCCCAATTTATCTTTGCAGCTGTTGTGAATCCCAAGCAGAGATGGGCATATAATTCTTCCTGAGAGGTGAGGCTAAAGCCATACCCCTCTCTTCAGCATTTGCAATTGGCTGTCTTCACTAGCTCCCCACTTAGCATGCTGGCATCTGTAAATCCCATTTTAGGTACCAAATTTTCCCCAGGCATCAGTCTTAAATGACTTTTCCCAAGTACTTTATAAGGACCTGAGGGACCTGACTTGGGGGTAATGAATACTTTTTGGATACTCTACCACCTAATCAGTCATTGCAACATTGAGCCCAAGCCCCCTCTTGAGTTTAGCCCATATTTTCCTTCCCTTTGTGGGCGTGTCCACACATAAAGGCATACGCGCTTGCAGCAGCTCAAATAGGAGTGGCACAAATTTGAGCCAGGGGTTTTTGCCTCAGCACATGTGCCTGGACATGCACTTTGGAGTGGGGCAAGTTGTGCCACCTGGGGCAAAATAACCCTGCCCAGCTCCTCCCAGATCTGCAGCCAAGGGGATCTGCAGCAGTATAAAAACCTGTCCTGTGCTAGCCCCAGCAATATAAAAAACCTGCCTGGTGAGCAGCTCAGGTTTACTTGCCCTCAGGAGCTTTTGAGGCCCAGCCACTTGGTATTTGGGGACACTACCCCTTGTGCCAGCTTGACTGCTGAAGTAGCCCTAAGTTAGAGTGGCCCCTCCACCCTCTACCCACTGCAGCAGTCTGGCAGTGGGGGCAGCTGCCTGGCTATGACCTACTGCCACCTGCAACAGCATCTGCCCCCTTGGACCTGCAGCCCCAAGGCTGCACCCCTGCCAGACCCAGATGGGGTGCTTCTGCTCTGCCATCTGGGCAGCTATCGCCCAGAAGATGTGCTCCTTGTGGGGGCCTGCTCTGAGCTGTGAAAGCATGTCCTCTTGGCCCCAAATAGCCAAGAGGTCAGGCACCTCATCTGCCCTCCAGCTGGGTCCCCAGTGCTGGCTCTGGACAGGCTCCTCTGCCCGAGTCTCGCCACTTGTCTCACCAGCACAGATCCTGGTGTTCCCTGTTTATGAATCGCAAATACTCTGATAAGAAACTCAAATTATCTCATTAAAATAATCAAAATAATAATAGAATCATAGAATAGAAGAATGGGAAGGGACCTGTAAGGCCTTCAAGTCCAGTCCCCTGCCATGGGCAGGAGGTAAATGGGCTCAAATGAGCTCAACGAGGTGCTTATCCAGCCTCCTCTTGAATACCTCCAGGGATGGTGATTGTACTACCTCTGCTAGGAGTGTGTTCCAGATTCTAGATACCGTTACAGAAAAGGGTATCTTTTCCTTACTTGTAGCCTAAATTTTTCCTCAACTAGCTTGTGCCCATTGGTCCTTGTCCTCCCAAGGGATGCCTTTCTGAAGAGTTGCTCCCCTCGATCTTGGTGTTCACCCCTGACATACTTGTAGGCGGCTATCAAGTCACCTCTCAGTCTTCTTTTACTCAGACTGAACAAGCCCAGTTTTCAGAGTCTCTCCTCACAGAGCCTATCCTCCTGGCCCCTACTCATACTGGTGGCCTTTATCTGTACCCTTTTAAGTTTATCCACATCATTCTTAAAGTGTGGTGCCCAGAACTGGGCACAGTACCCCAACTGTGTCCTCACCAATGCCGAATAGAGGGGGAGGAGCACCTCCCTGGATCTATTGGCCACACATTGGCTGATGCACGCCAGAGTTCTATTTGCCCTGCTGGCGACTTCATCGCACTGTTGGCTCTTATTCATCCTCTGGTCGATTGTCACCTCCCGGGTCCCTTTCAGATGTGGTGTCAGCCAGTGGACACCATCCATCGTATAGTAATGGTGAAGGTTCTTCCTACCCAGATGAAGGACCCAGCACTTGTCCCTGTTGAACCTCATTTGATTGCATTCAGCCTATAGGACCAGTTTGTCAAGGTCATTCTGGATCCTTACCATGTCCTCAGATGTGCCTACATTTCCCCACAGCTTGGTGTCATACACAAACTTAATAAATGTGCTTTCCACTCCCTCATCCAAGTCATTGATAAAGATGTTAAAGAGCACGGGCCCAAGCACTGATCCCTGAAGGACACCACTGGAGACAGCCCTCCAGGATGAGGCCATGCCATTGAGTACAATTCTCTGGGATTGGCCTCTGAGCCAGTTGCCAACCTACTTCACTGTTGACTGGCTTAGGCCCATACCCTCCAACTTGGTTGAGATAATTTCATGGGAAACAGTATCAAAGGCATTGCTGAAGTCTAGGTAGATGATGTCAACCTCACGTCTCATGTCCAGCTGGTTAGTTACCTGGTCATAAAAGGACACCAGGTTTGTTGAGCATGCCCTCCCCTTGACAAAGCCATGCTGGTTGCTTCTTAATACCCCACCAGTTTCGAGCTTGTGGCTGATAGCCTCCTTGACAATTTTTTCAAAGATTCTTCCCAAGACTGAAGTCAGACTTATCGGTCTGTAGTTTGCAGGGTCATCCCTCTTCCCTTTCTTAAAGATGGGTACCAGTCTAGCCTTCTTCCAGTCATTCGGGACCACTCCTGAGTTCCACAGTTCTTTGAACAACCTCACCAGAGGCACCGCTATGAGCTTGGCCAGTTCTTTCAGGACTCTTGGATGCAGGTCATCTGGACTAACAGACCTGAAAACGTCCAAATGTTCTAAGAGTACCCTCACCTGTTTGGGACTGATTGCATGTGGACTGCTGTCTTCCCGTATACTTTGGGTCTCTGGACAGGTGATGAGTTCCCGTCTGATTTCAAGAATACTGATGTGAAATAAGTATTTAGGAGCTCTGTCTTTTTGAGGGGACCAACTGTGGGCTGCCCTGCCTGTATTCAGTAGTGGTCCCACAGTAGAGCTTGATTTTTTTCTTGCTTCCTATGTACCTATAGAAGGCCTTTTTGTTGTCTTTTATTTTCATTGCCAGCTTGCTTTCCATGCATGTATTGGCTTTCCTAGTCTCATACCGACAGACCCTGGCTGTATGAGTGTACTCCTCTCTGGATGCTGAACTTTTTTTCCATTGCATGTAAACTTCTTTTTTCTTTTTCAGAAGTTCCCTAATGTCTCTGTTGAGCCAAGCAGGTCTCTTGGTCCCTTTCCCTCTTTTTGACCCCATGGGGATGGCCTCTTTTTGAACAGTGAGAATTGCCTACTTAAGGAAGCACCACCATTCCTGAACTCCCAAATCATCCAGTTGCTGGTTGCAAAGGGCCTTTCTAACTAGACTCCTGAGTTTACCAAAGTCTGCTCCTCTGAAGCCTAGGACTTCTGTTCTGCTGACAGAATTCACAGCCTTTCGGTGGATGGTGAATCTAATCAGATCATGATCACAGTTTCCCAGAGTACCTCCAATCTTCAGGTCACCTACCATGTCTTCCCCTTTGGTCAGCACCAAGTCCAGAGTGGCTTTACCCCTAGTTGGTCTCTCCACAGCCTGTGTCAAGAACAGGTCATCTATAGTTGCCAAGAAGTTGGCTGACCTGCTGGAATTCACTGAATGGTCTTCTCAATGCATATCAAAGGAGATGAAGTCACCCATGATAATCAAGTCTTTAGTGCTGGCTGCCTCAGTCAGTTCCCTGGAGAATGACTGGCTGTTCTCCTCTTTTTGGCAGGGAGGTCTATAGTAGATTCCCACCATCAGGTCCCCTTCTCCTGAGCCCCCGTGTATCTTAACCCAGAGAGTTTCAAGGGGCCTCCCCGTGCAATCAAACGTGACCTGCAGGGAGGGGTACTGCTCTTTCACATAGAGGGCCACCCCTCTTCCCTTCTCCCAACCTGATCCTTCCTATGGAGCCTATAGTCCTCAATATCCACTGCCCAGTTATGTGTCCTCCCACCAGGTCTCCATCAACTCAAAGTACTCGCCTTCCCATGGAGGCAGGACCCTGCCTGGCATGACATGCAGTCCTTGCAAGGAGGGCTGGGTCCCAGGATACAGCCGAAGTGGCCTCGGTGCTGCCTGAAGCCACACCCCCCCATGCTGCACTGTGCTGAGCCGGGGTGGCCCCATGATGAGTGGCACAGGTGGCACTGGCTCTGAGGCAATGAGAGCCATGCCGTATTGCTGGGAGCTGTGGCCGCAGCAGGTCCTGAGCACCCCACAGCTGCTGCTGCTGCTGCAGGAGTGAGCTGTGGGCCCTGCAGGGGACCCGTGCACCCGACCAGCCCCTCCACCCCCACACATCTACAGCTGCCCTACCCCCCCACAATCCTCCCTCCCCAGTCCCCAGGTCGCAGCCTTGTGCTGCTCCTGCTCACCCCGCACATGAACGCAGCCTGCTAGGGCAGCAGGGGGCACCATAGAGATGCTCTGGCTGGATGCCAGAGTGTCTCTAGAGGTTTGAGCCACGGTTTTCCTCAGGACACAGTGGGAACTGTGCCCTGCACCACTTTTTTCTGGGTTATTTCAAATCTTGAGCCTGTATTGCAAATATGCAGCACAGGGAGCATTTTTTTCATTCTCAGCGTGCCTCTTGCAGCATCTGAAACTGGTTTGAGATGTCACAAGAGGCACATGCACACTTGCCTGGATGCGCCCTGTGAGAGTTGCTGTGCTTTAAGCCTGCTAAGAAACTGTCTTCCTGTGGAGGAAGTGGTCAGCGCAATAAAGTGCTTTCCTCCTGGCAGACAGTCCCCATCTCAGATAACCAGCATGGGTTGTGTATAGAGGATAAGACTATGGCTCTTGCTACAGTTACCCTAGACTTAGGAATGGATAGTCATAACTGGATGTGGTCATCAGCAGGTGCTGAGGAATTGGTAAGATACCCAAGTTCTTTTAGCATCCACTACCTTCAATGGAAGCTGGAAGGGTCAGCATCTCTATCAGTTGCTCAGCATCTAGCCAAATTTGAGGTGGCTGTGCTTAGAGAGTTTTGGGTTTAGAATTATACTTAATAGGATGTTTTTGCTATAAAGCATTAGGGTATGAGAGATACAGTTCTTACTGTTAGTGTTAGTTTCATGGCAAATTAATAGGACTCCTCACTACTTCTTTGGTTCTGACAGTTGGACAGCATTGGACCTAGAAGCCTGCACATTCAAATATGGTATTCTGAACAAAACCCTAAGTGCTGTAGCCCTATACAGCCTTAGATTTGTGTGTGCAGATCCTATTGACAGCAGTGGTAGAGCTATATGTGTCTTAGGAACACTATACAAAGAATGGCTGAGCTGTGAAGAAAACAAAATGAAGTGTGGTTTGGAAAGTGTCATCAGTTAAAATAAGCTGTAACTACTTGAGCCTCAGAAGGTATATAGTGTGGAATTCTATTCTAAGAATCATTTTGAGCTACCCTGGTTTTGCCTCTTTCATGGTCATTCTATTCCAGCCCATAAACTGGGGGACTTTCAAAATCAGAATGAAAATCTTGTTCGTCTTGCCAAAGCAAAATGGATTCTATCACAGCGGTCTAGTGCTAAGGAAGATCAGTCAGATTATAACCAGCACCATCAGAAACTATAAAACTATATACCTGCAGCCAAGTAACACTCAAAGAAATGTGATATTCTTTTCTCTCTTTAGGTTTGACAAAGAAAATCAAAGACAAAAAAGTTCTCGAATCTGATTCTTATGACTGAACGTACATCAGTTGTCTGCAAGACGTAGGCAAATCAGCACGTGTTAAAAATTCTCTGCCTTCACTAAAGATTGATCCATATTTTGTGACATAAACTGAATTGCTGAGCATATATGGCTATCCTAATTCTATAAAATGATTCATATAAATTAAGGGGGTTTTCTAAAGCACCTGTCAGTGTGGTAGTTAAGAGCCAATCCATAAAGCAATCAGTAAAAAACAAATATTTATGTTCAGTTAAAGAAAAAGCCAAATTTCCACCCGAGGCAAGTGTATTATGTGTGTTGTCATATACTTGTGTCTTTTTAGATGAAAGAGCAGAAGGAGGAGAACCAACGCCATCTGAAACCACGTTGGAAAATCAAGAAACGGCAGGAAAAAATGCTGAATCCTAATCGCTAAGAGTTTCTGGATTTGACACCCATCCACAGACTTTTCAAAGGATCTGTTTTTCACTGGTTCCAATATCTAGTAGCAACTGTAGCAGTATGTGCACGACTATGCAATATATTTGTATCTGGATGACATTAACTTGGAGCTACTAGTTAGAGTTTCAGTAAAGTTTTCTACTGTAAACCATTTGAAGAGCAGATTATCTACAAATCACAGCTAAGAAAGAGCTAAAGAATGTATATCATCTTGGAATGTTTTTTTCTTTTTTAAATTGTCAGTTATGCTGTACAGATACTAACTTAACCAAACTCTTATTGATTGTTTCCATGATTATAGTATATGTACAGAACACTATTCTTCTTGTTTATTTGTTTATCCAGAATAGCTTTTGCAGTGAAATTAAGGCTTGTTTCCCCATTCACTATGAGAATTGTAATATATACAGAGGTACAGACTGGGAGGAGAACTTAATTGTATTTTGAAAGATAGAGAAAGCCACAAATTCCTAGCTTGTGACCTTTTGAAATCTTACAATCTTTGTTCTGTTAAAAGGAAGCTTGGGTAAGGGAGACAAATGAAAGAGGCAAGCAAAATATTCCAGATGGTTTCTAAAACACTCAAGAGCTCTTCAAAAAGCTATGGATATATTCAACTCTGGTAAATAATCTCTTGTTTCCATCCCCAACATTCTTACTACTTCTATCTTTACTGCGCACAGACTCTAAAATAAGATCAATGTCTGTAAATGGTTCTGAATTGTTTAATCTCACTGTGCAAATTAAATAGTTATCCCTTTTGCCTTCTGCTTGAACCTGATTTCTCTGCTTTATCACTGATCATGACTCAGAAGTACCATAATACGTGATGCTTTCATCTCATCTGAGTCTTAAGGTTTTGTTTAGTGGAGCTGTTCAGTCGTCATAGTTCTAAATGTGATTTAAACATTTTTAAACAAAGGCTCTACCTGCACAAAAGAACTGATTTGTGTTTTTATTACAGGTATTGTATCATGAAAAATACTTTGTATGGATTGCTGCTTATATAGATTCATATAAATTCATGCATTTGTGCTTCAGTCTGAATCAGCGGTAATTTGGAATTCTTCTGAAGGTCTACATTGAAACTAACAGTAAATGGGCACTTTCATTTGCACACCCTTAATCTTTCTTGAGTCTGTCCTATCAGTGGAAACTTTTATCATAAATAGATATTTGCAGTCCTTAAGGCTGAGAATCCTATTTGGAGACTATAATGGAGCTTTGCGCTGCTAAGTGCCCTACATGTAGTTACAGGGATGAACATACACCATAATACATGTAAACCTTGCTGCATCAAAACCATTATGCTGGTCCATAAATTGACCCTTTGCACCCCCTATCATAACCCAGCTACAACATTTCCTTTGTATCAGCCCCTTTTTAATTAGCATAAAGCAGTTTAAAGGTGCAGTCACTCTGGCATAAATGTTCTGTTTTTGTCCTTCCCATCCTCGTGGTGCTGTACTGTACATCCTGTACTGAAGGGCCCACGTAAATAAGTTTACCCAGTTTGAGCAGGACCTCAAGTCCCTTGCCCAAGCAACAGGTAAAAAGCCCCAGAACTCTTCCCAAAATGTGAGAGATTCTTATTTTCATAGATTTCATAAACATTAGGGCTGGAAGGGACCTCTCGAAATCATCAGGTCCAGCCCCCTGCCCAAGGGGCAGGAAGTCAGCTGAGGTCAGATCACCCCAGCAAGATAAGCATCCAAGTGTTTCTTAAAGGTATCCAGAGTAGGAGCTTGTACCACTTCTGGGGGGAGTCTATTTTGTCAAAGGTTGAAAGACTAAATTTGATAGTTTAAAGTAAGTGACATCAGAGAAGCAGAGTATGTCAGAGACCACAAACAAGAGGAATTTGGAGTTATTGAACCTACAGGGTGCACTTTTAATTTTCTTCTGAGCTTGTGTTCCCCTGTCAAGCCTTTACTGCAGCATTATAACTCTGGTCTAGCAAGGCATGTGCTAAACCTTAAGTATGTGAGCAGCCCCATTTGAAAAGGACCACAGAAATAAGACCCCTCAGAAAGTTAGTGTGAAGAATATATGCATCTTGTTGAATCATTGCTTCTACCAGTCTCCTTTCACATTTGGAGAAACACATACTTTCACATCTGCATCTTATAGCACAATAGCATTAGAATATAGGTTACATTCATTGATGCTAATCAAGAGTTTCACTAACCTAAGATATTTTGAAAGTGTTTCCCATTAACATGTCAGTTAAATGAATTGGTACAAGTTAGGTCCAAATAATGTAAACAGTTATAGATGTACTTACTTCTATGCACGAGCATAGTTTCATAGCTACTTGCATATGTCAAGTTTGACTGTTTGCAGAGTCAAACTTTTGGTACTTTGAACTTAAAAACAGATGCTTGGCATTTTGCAAGATTTGGGCTTTTTCATTTTTTGAAGAAAATATGGTATGAAAATAAATACTGGGAAAAAATCTACAACAGAAAAAATGTACAAAACAAGGAATTAAAAATAAACAGCAACAAAATGGGAATCTTTTAAATATGACAATGTAAAATAATCTCCATGTAAACTGGCAGCAAGACACTTTTAGGAAATAATAAATATGGTCAGCATTGCAAATTATTGATATCAAACCTTTCATTTTATGGAAAATACTTTTAGGCACTGCTTCAAAGTTTTAAGCATATGTTTAACTAGTCCCACTTAAACCAACAAGATTATATACATGCTTAAAAATAGGTACTTGCTTAAGCACTTTTAATCAAAGCTTTCATTATTAAAGATGATTTGGTACACAACATGAAGCGTTAATCCCAATTTCCAGTCTAGTTAATTTTCTTAACTTACTTTATAATATGCTTCTTATTGTCAGCATAAATCATGCACAGCAGTCTGTGGCTTTGAAGTAAAGAGATTTAATTTTGGTGCAAAGAAGAAAAATGTAAATTCTCTTTCTTTGAACTGGGGAGTCTAGAGGAAGAGTTATTCAGTTTCAGCAACTCTACATGGAAAACATTGCTTCATTATATAATAGACACATCTACATGTGCAGTAACAACTGCGCAGTCATTTAGTACTTGCATTTAGTACATGCTTTAGTACTAGATGATTGCACAGTAACCATCATTACTACTCAGTCCCAATGCCACACAGCTATTTTTAGTAGCTACTGCTCAGTAGTGCTGGCACCACGGTTCATGCCTGCCAACACTACGTCGCTGTAGCAATGAGCTACGGCAATGTAGCTCATTGCTATGGCAATGTAGCATTTTGTGTAGACACACACAGTATGTCAATAACTCTAATTTTGGTACTTTGAAATTATAGTCACCCTCAAATATTTTCTTACGTCATTTGAAAGGTGATTTTTCTTTGGTCTGATTTGTGTTCTGCTATCAGAAGGCATGTGTATAATGTGAAGATAAACATACTGAGCCAGGTAGGTGGCTAGTGTAAATCTATGTATTTCCATTGCCCATTTATCACTATCCAGGAAAGCAAATATACTTTTTTTGGAGATGTATTAAAATGGTCTTAAGTTGAAAAGATTGACTTGATTGCAGGACTACTGATTTTTTGAGTGGGACATATTTGCATTAACTGGGTGCATCCAGATGAGTGCGGTCTTGCGGTACATGGTACTGCAAACACATTTGCGGTGCCATATACCGCACAAAGTTCTACGTGCTGCAAGGGTATGCTGCCCGAGTACGTGCTGTTCTGTGTTTTTTCTGCATTTTGGTTTGACCCCTGGATATCCAGGGGTAAAAAAAAAAAAACCGTGGAAAAAACCCCCAAAGCAGTGCACACTCGGGCAGCATGCGCTGCTAAAAAGCAGGGTTGGGCCACTTGGAGCTGTGCTGCAGCCGCTGATCAGGCTCTGTCCAGCAGGATTGCCATGGCTGCAATTCCAAGAGGTCCCCAGGACCCCAGGTAAGGCTGCTGGGGCTAGCACAGTGCTGGTCTCAGCCTCCCCTATGCCTGGGGCAACTTGCTGCACACCAAAGCGCATGTGGCATGGGCATTCCCCATGGAGAAGAAGCGGCAGTGCAAGGGAACCTAATGTCCATGCACATCTGAATGCGCCCACTATGTCCAATCAGGTGCATGGATCTCGCCACTTGTGCTGTTTGTTTTGTATTGGTGTAGTACTGTACCTGACATGTTTAGAAAAAAGGTGAATGATGGAATGGATGGCAAAGCATACAAGCTTTCATTTAATCCAGTGGTGCTCAACCTTTTTGCCCTGTAGGATGGATGGGCAGTGTCTGGTTCATCTGCAGGCCATATCCAGTGCATGGGGCAAGTGCAGCAGGGCCAATCCAGCCACAGGGAAGGGGGTTAGCGTAGCCCAGCTCTAATCCAGTTGTGCAGGGGGAGGGGTTCTGGGCTGGCCCTGATCTAGCTTTGCAAGATGGGAGGAAAGGGGACATGGTCCAGCCCTGACCTGGCCGTGCGGGAGAGGAAGGGCCAGGGGGTTTGGGAGCTTGGTAGCAGGGAGAAGAACCAAACTTCTGACTGGTCAGGAGCCCTGGCTCTGCAGCCATGGCTCTGCAGCCCAGATTTAGCCCATGGTCTGGGAGTTGAGCACCCCTAGTCTAATCCATCTCCCTATCCATCTGATTTATTCCTTTCTTGAAGTGTGATGACAAGAACTGGACAAAGTATTCTAGCTGAGACCTTTCCAGTGTTGAATAGAGTGGAAAAAATATGTAAAATACTACTGCTGATGCCTTTTGATATGATGATAGTGTTTTGGTTTGTGTATGGTGGGTTTCTTTTTCCACCTCCTCCCCACCCCCCAACAGTGTATTTTGGGTTCAGGTTCAGTTTTGTATCACTAGAACTCCCAGATTCTTTCTGATTCATAGATTCATAGACACTGCTTCCTTACCAATCATTCCTCTCCGATCACTGTACCTATGCAGAGGGATTGATTCCTATAGGAGTAGAGTACTTTGCATTTATACTTGTTAAATTGTATCCCATCTATTTCAGACCTTTTCCGCAAATTCTCAAGATCATTTTGAATTCTAATCTATCCTCCAAAGTTCTTGCAATCTCCCCAACTTGGCATTATTTGCAGATTTTATAAGCATACACACTTTTTCCATCATCCAAATCATTTAATAAAACTATTGAATAATATGAGGTCCAAGATGGGACCCTACAGAACTTTGATGCATCTCTTCAGTTTGACATTGAACTATTAACTACATAAAAACAAATACTTTTACAACAGTACAGTAGTAGTTTCACAACTGATTATGAATGCATTTTACAATGGTAAGCTAGACCATATTTCTCCTGGTTGTTCATGACAATGGCATGTGGCATATGGGAGGGTCATGGCCCTACTGAAGTCCAGATGCATATCTACGGTTGCTCCCTTATCCAAAATATCTAGTTGGTTTGACATGATTATTCTTGACAGATCCATATCGTCTATTACTTGTCATGGTGTTATCACTTAGATGCTTATAGATAGATTGTGTGATTATTTTTTTCAGTATCTCGGAGGAGAAGTCAGGAGAATCCACCAGTCCACTTCTTTGATCTTTTTTTGATCCACTGTTTTCCCTTTTCCAGTCTTTTGGATCCTCACCCATCTTCTGTGAGATTGCAAGAGATTCAGTCAACTTCTTAGGTTCTGCAGAGCAAAGTGCATCAGAACTAGCCAATGTGAAAAGATCTAACTTAAGTTAGAGACTCCTTAGTTATTATTTCTGAGGTCTTACCCCTTTCTCACTTAACAATCTTAACTATCTGCTCTAGTG